AAACTTCTATCACTTTAAGCCAACCACAAAGACAGGTTTAGCAATTTCACATACCACCCAGGTTGCAAAAGAAAAAAAAAAAAAAGATAATGTTTAAGTTAATGTACACATTTAGAAGTCTCATGTCAAAAGAACTAAATAAATTATATTCCAGCAAGAATGTTTACTGGATCACTTATGAATGATAAAGTTAAACATCGATATATAGTTTCCAGACATATATTTTATTTCTAAATATTTTAGTTACATATTCAAGATGTGTAAGAAAGATGATTTTCAAAACAAAGTAAGCTAAGACCTTAAATTAGAAGATAAAAAGATAAGGATAGCAGAAAATTGTCACTTATCACATGCCACCATAATAACCCTACCTGAAGTAGAATGCATATATTAAGGGCAACATAAAGAAACTGGCCCATTTAAAAACCTCACCATCTGTAAAATAGTAGACATTATTTCTCAAAGTAGAGAAAAGCTTTAAAATAATGAAGCTTTTAAAGAATTCATTTGGATTAAAACTGTGTTACCGTAATCCATAGAGACTCTATACATAAGTCTTTCAGATATAATTTTGTTGCATTTGTAGTAAACTGTAGAAGTAATGGGATGATCCATTTATAGACTGGCCCACATCTACACAAACTGCTTAATATGTTCATGTACCTAAATGGCCTAAAGTTAAATACTTATAGACGAAATTGCAAGTTATTAAATGTTAAAGGGGGGGGGGAATTTTATTAAATAATACCTTTAAAGGTTATACTCCATCTCCAGCATAGAAGGTTTGCTGAAGATACTATGACAAGTGATTCTAGTAAGTAAGAGCCCTGAGATCTCCTGTGTGACCTGGCCTGAAATAGAAATGTACGTTAACCAGAAATTCAGATAATAGAAAGGAAGTTCCAAGCAAAAAGATAAACTGTGCTCAAAACATTTGTTTGTTTTGTGTTTTTCTTCTGCGTGTGTGTGTGCATTTTGGCCACATGCTCCACTCAGATCACTAGCCCATAAGGGTGTTCATTTAACTTATAATCCTATATATTTAAAATAAAACAAACAAAAACCCTGAACATAGTGTATGATATTAGAAATTAAAACATGAAAACTGCCCAGCCAGCACGACTCAGTGGTTGAGCGTCAATCCATGAACCTGGAGGTCACAGTTGATTCCCAGCTGGAGTACATGGCAGGGCTGTGGGCTCGAGCCCCAGTAGGGGGCAGCTGATCAATGACATTTCTATCTCTCTCTCCCTTCCTCTCTCTGAAATCAATAAAACTATCCAACTGAATCAGGAAGAGATTTATATATTTAGCAAAAGTGTGCCACTGTAGGTCAGAGAAAAGAACTCAGCCTGTTAGTATTGAACAGTAGAACAGAAAAACAGCACCTTCAATCACTGCTGATAGGGGAAGACGGATGTCAGGACTCCAAGGCTGGAGCCAAGATTTCAGGTGAGGCAACAGCACAGCAGTACTTCCCTTAAAGCTGCAAGAAAAAAGAAAGGGCCTAGAAAGAAGGGGAATTAAATAGCCTAGACACCCAAGAGGTGAGTCTAAACTGAACATCACAGAATAATCCACAGGCAAGGATTATACAAAATGGAACGCTAGGCAACCATTAAAAGATCACAGAAGAAAACTCAGTGATGCATGGGAAACAGTCACAACGTACTGCTAAACGAATAAAGCAATTTTCCAAACAGTACTTAAGATATGATACTCTTTGGCTGTCATTATCACTGTTATAGGTATATCATAGTATATAACCAGCATACGCTGAAATGTGACTATTTCCAAGTGTATAAGTAAATTTTTTCCTAACTTTTGGCTTACCTATATATTTTTAAATATTCTACAAAGATATTTTAATTAGAAACAAGTAAAAAGGAGTGTTTTCTCACAGACTGCTTACTGGTTGCAAGAGGGAAAAGAAGGAACTACACTGTGTAGATCAAAATCACCACCACCAATGAGGGGCACGGATACCATGCGCCTCTGACGTGACACTCCAGGAAGGACACATCACTTATGATCACGAGCTGGGCTGCATACCCTGAATCTAATCTTAAGGAAATGGACAAACATAACCTGAGGAACCTTCCTTATCTAATTTCGAGGAAATAGACAAACATACCTCGAGGAACCTTCCATAAGTGCATTCTTTCAAAAATGTCAATGTTATAAGGCACAAAGAAAGGCATTATATGGAAAAAGAGACATGCCAACTAAAGGTTTATGTTAGAGGACAGTGAATGCTACACAAGTATCTTATTGGGACAACTCACAAAATTAGAATACAGACTGTAGCTGAAAGTACTGAGTCAGTTTCCTGAATTGATAACTGCACTGTGGTTATATAAAATAATAAATTTATTCTTAAGAAATATAGTTGAAGTATTATAAGGTAAAGGGGTATGAGCTATGTAAACAAATATCAAATACTTCAGAAAAACAGCATGTATATTGTATGTGAGAGAGAAATAAGTGATGAGAAAGCAAATGGGGCAAAATGTTAACAACTGGTGAATTTGTATAGAAGGCGAACTATTTCATTCTCTTTACTACTCTTCGAACTTTCCTGTTAGCTTGAAATTATTTCAAAATAAAAAGTAGAGGGGGAGTCCTATAAATTCTCCTGAATTATACAGAAGCTTCTCAACTTAAATACCAGCAACTTGCAAATGTTCACAGTAACTAAGAAAGCTATACCTCCAATCAAGAGGACAACTCTTCCCACCAACAGATGGCCTCAGTGGTCGCTGGTTTACTGTCACTTTAGCCTTCAAAGCCCACATGGTCTTTGTGAACAGCCTTTTGGAACTAAGCTGCATATATCCAGAAATACTTGTGCCTCATGCTAATATAAAGAATAGTACAGATGAACATCACTTAAGAGGTGGAAGGTACTTTGGAGATCTCAGCTTGGGGTACATTTCATATCCCCAGGTCTTCCCTTATTTTAGTATATGCCCCTGTCATCCCAGGGCATGCCCTATACCCCAACTCTCCAAGGAAAATCATGGCTGTAGTAATTTACTATAAAAGGAAGGGGAAGTATCCTTCACATGTATAAGAACAAAAGAGGGGGAGGGAAGAAAAAAGTAAAGAAAAAGAAAAGCTGGGAGGAATAAGTTTATCTATCTCCTGCTTTATTCCAATCCCCTGATTTTACAGACAACAATCCAATGGGAGGTCATGTGATCTGGCCAAACTCACATAATCAGTTAATGGCAGAGGTAGGTCTTCAACAAGTTTTTGGTTTGCTGATCCTCAGCGCTTTCTACAAAGTCAAATTACCCTCTCCCTACCAACCCTTAATTAAATGTTTAAATGCCATGGAAATGTGGGGGTAGCAGGGGTGAAATATCTAGTTTCCCTCTTCATGTCTAATAAAATTCCTTAGGTGAACAAGATGACAAAGGACAGACAGAGCCCGTGCAAAGGCTAGGAATGCTCAAAGCCTTTGTCACTGGCACTCAGAGAAGTGCCAATAGTTGAGAACGGTATAATTAGAGGGCAAAATGTAAATGACATGGGAAGCGTCAGGAATTTTGTCTGGAGAAGAAGGTATAAAGAAAAGGCAATGTTTGTCACAGTAAAAAGAAGAGGCTGGACTTTGTCCTGTAGGCAATGAAAAGGCAGAGTCCTTATAAATGGACTCGTAAAGTATATGATCTTACAAGTATCATTCAGGAGACACACACACACCCTGAGACTGTGTTACTAATTTCTACTGAATTCAAAAGTCTCAACAAATGAATGCCTAAGTGATGCCTTCAAGTACAACAGATCTTCGATGTTGGTTAGCGATTTGTCCCAAAACATCTTGAAAAGTCACCAAATTTAAGAAAACTACTATGGCATATAACACATTAAAGCATAAATAATGTATTTTACTCCTACAGACCTTTTAATGATTCTAAAAGTACTGAAAAAATTTATACTTATTTACATTATCATACAAATTGCAGAGTAGACTGACTGTTGTATACCACGAATTTAAGTCACCATAGGACCTTACATTTCACTTTAATTTATCCAAAATTCCTCTTCTTAGACCTATTTTCGCTTCTCTTTAGTGTCACCAGCACTAGGAGTTGGCTCCAGCAGCACAGAGTGCTGGCGTAAATAAAAGTTACTGTACAAAAAAGCGGAGAATGGCAAACTGCACTGAGGTGCACCTACTGGGTGATGGACTAGGACCAAATCTGTGCGTGCAGGAAAACAACCAACCACGTGTCACACACCCTGCCAGTCACTCACGGCATAGTGAAAACCAGTGTTAATTTGTGAAAGACAGACTATTCTATCAGCAACTGTCCAGTCAAAAAAGCATCATGTACTCTAATAGTAAAGATCCCACCGATCTTTCAAAAGTGGCAACGTCTGTAACAACAGAAATATTTGCATAGCAGCTACAGCTCACTTACACAGCTTAAAGTAATTTCAGCAGAAGGGTTTCAAGACATCTTGTTTTGGCCCTGGCCGGTGTGGCTCAGCTGGCTGGAGCATCATCCCATATCCCAAAAGTTTGCAGGTTCAATTTCTAGTCAGGGCACATCCCTGGGTTGCAGGTTTGAGTCCTGGCTGGATCTCCCCCCCCCCCTTCCCTTCCCTCCCTGCCTCCCTCTCCTCTCTAAAAATCAATGGACATATTCTCCCGTGAGGATTAAAAAACAAAACAAAGCAAAAAACACTTTGTCTTAGCAAATTTACAACCTAGTTTTCCATTAGAACATTACTCTTGGTAAGAACCAAGAGTATTGGGTATCTGCGTAAGGTCCTGAGGCCACCCAACAGCCAGATGAAGAGAATTTCCTGTGTAAATACTGAGGTGTTGTGGAGATTACAACACTGTCCTTCATTTACGCTGGCAGCCCCCAGGACAAAAATTATTACATGCAACTTAGCAAACTGAGGTTAAGAAGAGGGACACCTCTTAAGAGCAAAACAAATCTTTCCTAGAGGTTTCCTCCTTCCACCCTCTTCCCCAAACCTACCAGCCGAAAAGGTTTCCCTCATGTCGCAGTTGCTACAGTTCCTTCCTGTTTACTCAGGTCTGCCAGGGAGAAGATGTCAGGAAAGTCTTCACAGAGATCTGGTATTTGAGATGAGTCTTAATGCGTAGAAATTGGGCAGATGGGGGGAAATGGTAAGGACATACCTGGCAAGAAGAAGAAACAATACATACAAAGACATAAGAATGGAAGAAATTGGCATGACAGGAGAACAGTTAATTTTTTGCAGAGAAAGCACAAGAGTGAGTGTGTGTGAACATGGACAATAAACTGCAAACAGACTGTAGCTCTGGCTAGGTAGCTCAGTTGGTTAGAGCACCGTCTTGATACGCCAAGGTTGCGGGTTCAATCCCCAGTCAGGGAACATACAAGAATCAACTGAATGCAGAAATAAGTGGAACAACAAATCGATGTTTCTCTCTTTCTCTCCCCCTTCCTCTCTCTCTCTAAAATCAATAAATAAACTTTTTAAAAAAGTAACAGACTGGAGCCAGATCATGAAGCATTTGCAATAGCATGGGAAGAAGCATGCACTTTATTCTCTGAATCAAGAGTTTTTTAAAAATGTATGTCTTTATTGATTTCAGAGTGAGGAAGGGGGGGGGAGAGAGAAACATTAATAAAGAGAGAGTCATTGATTGGCTGCCTCCTGCATGCCCCCCTACTGGGGATCGAACCTGCAACCCAGGCATGTGCCCTGATTGGGAATCGAACCGAGATTGCTTGGATCACAGGTCGATGCTCAACCGCCGAGCCCCATGCCACGTCAGCCGGGTAGAATCAAGATTGCTTAACTGAGAGACTATGAAGTAAACAATAGGGTCATGATCTCCCCAAAAGCATGAAAATTGTGTACAGAACACACAAAAACATTAATTTTCCTGGATCCACAGTTTTCAAATGATTTTCAAAGGGACTCAGGAATAAAAATGTTTAAGAACCACTACTGTGGGTGACTGAGTGCCACGGCGTAACTACAGGCAGAAATATATGCCTTAATACTTTCATTTAAAAAAAGTAACTGTCAACACTTATGGCAGTTGATGGTTAGAAAGAGAACCTCAAAATCAATAGAGCAATAAGAAGGTTACTGTCTAATACGAGCCAAGAGATTATAAGTACATTTTTAAGAACCTAATTCCAGAGACTTTTCAAAGGTAAACTTGCTGTAACGTATTGGCCATCTGCACATAGGTTGTGAGCAAGAAAGGAACTAAGCATGCCTTATCATTCTACTTCCCACTGAAAGTTCATGATATTCACTATTACACACCATCATTAGTAAAAAACAACACAGTGGAGCAGCTGCAAGTGAAAGGAACTACTCTCTTCCATGTGCAACAGGCCACCAGTGGGAAACTAACCAGAAAATGCCACATGTCCCAAAGAGGAAATGCTGACGGCCTAGAACAGGGGCTGGCAAAACTATGGCCAACAAGGTGAACCCAGCCACTTTTCTGACCTAAGCCACACTCATGCATTTATATTGTTTAAGGTTCCTTTCACAGCACAGAGGCATACCTTAATAGCCGCAAAAGAGGCTTTGGCTT